AAACCCTTTTCTCCAGCTGCAAATATCTACAACACAAGTTGATAGGTTCCACTCTCTCCATTGCCCTGAATAACAGGCTGCAACTCAGGATGATAGGAAGATGGCTCCTCAAAAAAAAAAAAAAAAGGCATTCTTCCTCCTGCAAAAAACAGAGGCTTGCTGTTAGTAGAAGTTATATCCTGGGATGGCCTACAGTTCATTTGGCATTATCCTATACTCCTGTAGGGGGCAGTGTAACCCGAAGTTTTCAGAGGTTGTTTCCTTCAATGGAGTAGAAAGGAAAATAACTTATTTTTACACAGTGCATTAGCAAACTAAATCTAACCCAGTCAAGGTTTACATCTACTTTAACTGTGGATATCCCAGTTACCTTCAACAATCCAAAAACACATTAGTTAACCAACTTATGGTCCAACTGTGTGCAGACTGTGGTAGAACATGTAATCTCCACTGAGTGCAGAAACTGATGTAAAGTGCTGTGGAAAATGTGTAACAGTTATGTGTGAAATAAACAATCTTCCCAAGGCATCTGTAATCTACACAATACCATAGCTAATATAATTTGTAATATATTCGATGGAAATAATAGTTTATTCAAGACAAAGTTTATTTTGACATTTCCCATAGAAAACCATAAATTAACCCAATACAAGAATGTCAATGCTTTAAGGGATCCCTTAAGAAAAAGTCGGAAGTGACGAAACGCGTCAGCGTCGTGACGTCAGACGCAAACCGGAAGTAACATTGCGGCCATTTTGGATGTGGTCTGCTAGTGGTTGGATAGTCCTTTATGATATGTAAGCAGATACTATTTTATTAAAATTCTTGTATTCTACTCCGCTGAGTTTCTCTCTTCTCTATTTTGTGAGGAATGGGGAGACTTCGTTATACTCCCCTCTAAAGAGGAAAAGCCACCTGTTCTGCGGAAAAATATGAAAATGCCTGCTTAATTTGAATGAAGGTAATAGTGTGTAATCTTAACACAGAGTGTGGGCACTCATTTTCTTTAAGTGCACTGTGTCACTGATTGCATTTGTGTGATGTGTTTTATTACACTTGGAGTAATCCATTCACTTTATCACCAGTGTGGATTTTGAATTTGAATTTCACATTGTGTTTAAACACTATACAATACAAATTTATTTCACATTTTTTTTTTTTATTTTGTTTGTGCTGTTATATTCTCACTAGTGTTTGTGCATGATTTCACAGAATTCTATTTAATTTTAAGGGTAATGCACTATATTTAGTTTATATTTTGTTTGAGGTATTCTGGATTGGAGTGAAGATTTGGACATCATTTTGGAAAATTTGATATTTGTGGACACTTTGGACATATGTGGAGATTTTTGTTTTTTTGAAAAGGTTTATACTAATAATTTTGCACTTTCAAGGGTGAAAGTTTTACTTTTCTTTGGGTACATATAGAGTTTTATTTTGGATGGTACATAATTTTGCCTAGCACTTTTTGTGGTGCATAAAATGCAGTGAAAGCACCACAGTATGAATGACATGTTAACTACCCTTACATTTATGCTGTCCTTTGAAATACAGCTCTCTGAAAATCCAGAAGGCATGAAAAAAATTCCTGTACACCACACCCCATGCAAAACTGTTCATTCATAGCAGCCTCAGTTAAAACCTCCATGATTAAGTCCCGTGGACCGTGGCTTTGATGGAGCCATCTGAGCCGACTATGATCTTCTAAATGAACGGTGTGCGGTGGTTCGGGATTTATTTCATGCCTTTATTGTTAGCACAGAGTTGGGATGGACTCTTGCACATCCTGCACCCCCAGTGAGATCTACTACAGCCGTGGCCAAAAGCTTTGAGAATGACACAAATATTAATTTTCACAAAGTCTGCTGCTTCAGTGTTTTTAGATCTTTTTGTCAGATGTTTCTATGGTATACTGAAGTATAATTACAAGCATTTCATAAGCGTCAAGGCCTTTTATTGACAATACATTAAGTTTATGCAAAGAGTCAATATTTGCAGTGTTGACCCTTCTCTTTCAAGACCTCTGCAATTCATTCTGGCATGCTGTCAATCAACTTCCGGGCCAAATCCTGACTGATGGAAGCCCATTCTTGCATAATCAATGCTTGGAGTTTGTCAGAATTTGTGCTTTTTTTTTTGTTCACCGGCCTCGATGTTTGACCACAAGTGCTCAATGGGATTAAGGTCTGGGGAGTTTCCTGGCCATGGACCCCAAATGTCAATGTTTTGTTTCCTAAGCCACTTGGTTATCACTTTTGCTTGATGGCAAGGTGCTCTTCATGCTGGAAAACGCTGTCACCAAACTGTTCTTGAATGGTTGGGAGAAGTTGCTCTCAAAGGATGTTTTTGTACCATTCTTTATTCATGGCGGTGTTCTTAGGCAACATTTTGAGTGAGCCCCTCCCTTGGCTGAGAAGCAACCCCATACATGAATGGTCTCAGGATGCTTTACTGTTGGCATGACACAGGTCTGATGGTAGCGCTCACCTTTTCTTCTACAGACAAGGTGTTTTCCGGATGCTCCAACAATCTGAAAGGCGATTCATCAGAGAAAATAACTTTACCCCAAATCCTCAGCAGTCCAATCCCTGTACCTTTTGCAAAATATAATTCTGTCCCTGGTGTTTTTCCTGGAGAAAAGTGGCTTCTTTGCTGCCCTTCGACACTAGGCCATCCTCCAGAAGTCTTCACCTCACTCTGTGTGCAGATGTACTCACACCTCCCTGCTGCCATTCCTGAGCAAGCTCTGCACTGGTGGTGCCCCGATTCCCCAGCTGAATCAACTTTAGGAGACAGTCCTGGCACTTGCTAGACTTTCTTGGGCGCTCTGAAGCCTTCTTCACAACAATTGAACCTCTCTTCTTGATGATCCAATACATGGATAAATTTAGTTGCAATTTTAGTAGCAGCAGTATCCTTGTCTGTGAATCCCTTTTTGTGCAAAGCAATGATTACTGCACATGTTTCCTTGCAAGTAACGATGGTTAACAGAAGAACAATGATTTTAAGCACCACTCTTCTTTTAAAGCTTGCAGTCTGTTATTCTAACTCAATCAGCTTGACAGAGTGATCTCCAGCCTTGTCTTTGTTAACACTGACACCTGTGTTAACAAGAGAATTACTGACATGATGTCAGCTGGTCCTTTTGTGGCAGGGCTGAAATGCAGCGGAAATTTTTTTTTGTGATTAAGTTCATTCTCATGGCAAAGAGGGACTTTGCAAATAATTGCAATTCATCTGATAACTTCATAACATTCTGGGAGTACAGGCGTACCTCGGTTTACGAATTTAATACATTCTCCGGGACATTTCTTATTGCGATTTCCCATTGGAATGCATTGAAAACCAATTCATCCATTCCAGAGGTCAGAAAAAAAAAAAAAGTTTTTTTATCTGTTCAAAACTCTTTATAAAGTGCACTTTAAAGGCATAAATACTGTACAGGGACATGATTAAAAATTATTTCGTAAATGCACTGAAGACCAATTAATCCATTCTGGAGGTGCACTTTAAAGGGACAGGGCCGGCGCTATAAACCTCCCAGACGCAATACATCCTAGGGAAACTTGCTTCGTATTGTGAAAAAAATTTGTAAACCAAGGCATCATTTTCAATGGATTTTCATTCGTAAACTGAAAATTACGTTAACCGAGGCGTTCGTAAACGGAGGTACGCCTCTATATGTAAATTGCCATCATAAAAACAACATTTGGCCACGGCTGTAGCCAGGGTTTTTTAAGCCTGAGCAGAGACTCAGTGGGGCTCTGGAAGCCCTGATGCAAGTGTATCTGTACTGTCATCTGAGGTCTTCCAGACCCAATGCATTATTTAATGCATTAGTCATCACAATATAAAAGTGTATGGGGCTGGCTAATTCCTTTCAAATAATAGAAATATTTAAAAGAAACCAAAAAGTAGTTGTGAGGGGTTGATAGATACGCCCTATTAATGAATGTTGTAGCATTACAAAGAAGAAAATGTGCACATGATAGATGGATAGATTTTTGTTTTAGAAATACTACTGATTCTTTACAAAACATAGAAAAATAATCAAGCAAATGCAAACACACAATGAACCCCAAAATAAATAGGCAAGAAGTGCAATCCATTTTGATACAAAACAAAAGTACTTGAAAAGGAAAATAAGCCAACAATTAAAGAGACTATCATTGGGGTAAAGGGAGGTAAACTGCTGAAGCAATAAAGTGAAGGCACCTCGAGGTGCACTTACCTGCAAGCAGCTTCCCCACAGACCTCCCCTTATGCTGAAACTCAGGCCATTCCAACAGAAAATGCCCCGCAATTCCAGGCACTGTCTGAGCTTCCTGCTAAGCCTTATCCACGTTTTTATTTGTTCATCAATATAACAGGCAACCTCATTAGCCAACAGAAATGTGCAGGAGGCGGTCAGCACTATCAGGAAATGCTGAAGCTTTGCCTAGCAGAATTGCTTGGGATTTCATTCAACAGAAAGTTTAGGGGAGTGCTGCAGGTGAATCATTTCATTCCTGATGCAGTTTGCCCCCTTATCCCCAAGTGGCAGTCTCTTTAAAGCTCTACAGTTTTCTTGATCATGCTACTGTGTGATCACAAATAGCAATTACTACCAGGTAATGGTAACTGACTTTACAACAAATAACAGTCGTCACCTGATGCAGAGAAGGAGTCCTGCCATAGTCACATACAATAGCAACTTTGCCTTCTTGCCTCTGATTATTACTGGCCCTGTGACCTGTTTCAGTGACATTAACTTTTATTTGTTACAAATCCAAAATCTACCCATTTTTTAACAACTTCTTTTTTTTATGTACTGGTGCAATCAATAAGCCTCCAGTGTAATACAGTACCTCAGTTTTTTTTTTTTTTTTTTTTTACAGCCAGACAATAGGTTTCTGAAATTGATTTCACAAGATAGCTGATCCAAACGGACCTAAGGGTCAACCATTTCCAGATCCATAGGAGAAGCCCAGAGTAATTCCTCTGAACAAATAGTGCCATGTTCACAAAGGAGGCACACCGCGCAACCTACGAATTAGGTTGGCAATCTTCTTTGCCAGTCCTCCTTGCTTAGTGTCCTCCACCTGGAAAGTCCTTGTGAGAAGGTTGTAGAAAGACCCATAGCCCACAGCTACTACAGTACATGTCAGACAGATAACATTGTAGGGCATGCTAAAATCAGGTGTAGGTAGATTCACTAGGAGAGGCTCTGTGTACAACCGCATGAAGTAGCTGGAACTGTCTGATGATGGAAAACTGACAGACAAAAAAAGAAAAAAAAAAAATTAATAATTGCACCATTTGTTAGGTTCTTATTTAGAGTGGGCATTTTATTATGCTCCAATTAAAGATATATGTAAACCAAAAACTGATGTAATTATGTAACAGCCCATGTCTGCAACCTCCTGGAATACCCATGAGAAAATTCCTAGGAGGCTGCAGTTCCATTCAACAGAGATGCCACATGAGATCTCACTCTATGTAACCTGTACATCATGGTGCCAGAGCTCTGCCTGTGCAAGCATGAGATCAGGTACTGCGTCATCAGGGGCTGGCAGCAAGAACTAGGAGGAGACAGTCTGTTGACAATGACACAAAAGTAAAGATGGCAGTACAGGACTGGGTGGTGGATTAGCAGAGGACATCACAGGATTCACTGGGCGTGTAAATATGCTTATTCTGAATTAACTCATTCCCGCCCGGCCAATAGCACAAAGGCGGCCGGCAAAACACCTCGTCCCTCCGGGTGGACACACCATATGGCGTCCTTTCAGGCATGCGCAGTGGAGTCTTGGAGGAACCGGAGTACCCGGAGGAAACCCACGCAGTCAGAGGGAGAACATGCAAACTCCAGACAGATGGTGCTGGGGTTGGGTTTTGAATCAGTGACCCTAGTACTGCCAGGCTGAAGTGCTAACCATTTAGCCACTGTGCTGCCCAGTTTAGGGAGTGATCTGTGTGGATGGCTGCGAGACACGCCCCCTTCTCTCATTCACTCCTAAATAGTCTGTCAGTCACAGGAGAGGGGGGCGTGACGACATTTTTTTTTTTTTATTCACGCATCAGGTTTTTTTTACTGTAGGAAAGCAGAGAGAATTTCAGACGACTGAAATGGTCAGACTATAGCCAAAATGACTTCTGCTGTTATGCTGTGTGAGGTAGACTGGTCATTTTAAGTTTTGATTTTTTAGGTTTACAACCACTTTAATCTTAAAGCTAAAATCCAGTTGGTTGATAAAAATGCACCTTGCAGTGCCCATGGCACCCCCCACATGTGCCCATGGCACACCCCCCCCTGCAAATGGTGAAATACTTACAGTGTGGAGAAAAGTGGGCTTTCCTCTAGCTCATCCGTTTTCAGGTTCCTTACACTGGGGATCAGAACACTTAATACTGAAGGACTACAAGAATGACAAAAAAAAAAAAAGACCAATTAAAGAACTTACCAACATCAATACAGAATATGATTAGACATAAAAGACATGGAGGAATTCGGCGAATTCCAGTGTGAAATTCGATTCGATGCGAATTTCTTCGCTACGAAGATGACTTATAAAAAGGGTTTCTAGGCTTCAGAGAGCCTTTAAATTAGTGCAGAACACTGTACCTTTAATTTAAATGCCCTTGGAGATGAGGAAAGAGAAGAAAGAGAAGGAGAAGGATGAGAAGAAGGAGAAGGATGAGAAGAAGGAGAGGAGAAGGATGAGAAGAAGGAGAAGGAGAGAAGGATGAGAAGAAGAGAAGAGAGAAGGAGAAGGAGAAGAGAAGAAGGAGAAGAAGAGAAGGATGAGAAGAAGGAGAAGGATGAGAAGAAGGAGAAGGATGAGAGAGGAGAAGGATGAGAAGAAGGAGAAGAAGATGAGAAGAAGAGAGAAGGAGAAGAAGAAGAAGAAGGAGAAGAAGAAGGAGAAGGAGAAGGATGAGAAGAAGGAGAAGGAGAGAAGGAGAGAAGGATGAAGGAGAAGGAGAAAGAAGGAGAGAGAAGAGAAGGATGAGAAGAAGGAGAAGGAGAAGGATGAGAAGAAGAGAAGGATGAGAAGAAGGAGAAGGATGAGAAGAAGGAGAAGGATGAGAAGAAGGAGAAGGATGAGAAGAAGGAGAAGATGAGAGAAGGATGAGAAGAAGAGAAGGAAGAGAAGATGAGAAGAAGGAGAAGGATGAGAAGAAGGAGAAGGAGGAGAGAAGAAGGAGAAGGATGAGAAGAAGAAAAGGAGAAGGAGAAGGAAAGAAGATGGAAGGAGAAGGATGAGAGAAGGAGAAGAGAAGAGAGAGAAGATGAGAAGAAGAGAAGGATGAGAAGAAGGAGAAGGAGAAGGATGAGAAGAAGGAGAAGGAGAAGGATGAGAAGATGGAGAAGGAGAAGGATGAGAAGAAGGAGAAGGAGAAGGATGAGAGAAGGAGAAGGATGAGAAGAAGAGAGAAGAAAGGAGAAGGAGAAGGAGAAGGAGAAGGAAGGAAAGAAGAAGGAGAAGAAGGAGAGAAGGATGAGAAGAAGGAGAAGGAGAAGGATGAGAAGAAGGAGAAGAGAGATGAGAAGGAGAAGGAGAAGATGAGAAGGATGAGAAGAAGGAGAAAGGAGAGAGGAAAGGAGAAGGAGAAGGATGAGAAGAAGGAGAAGGAGAAGGATGAGAAGAAGGAGAAGGAGAAGGATGAGAAGAAGGAGAAGGATGAGAAGGATGAAGAAGAAGGAGAAGGATGAGAAGAAGGAGAAGGATGAGAAGGAGAAGTTCTGTGACAGTTTCTGTCTATTTCTGACAGTTCTGGGACATTCACTCCATACAGCTGTTTCAACCGCTGTATGGAGGGAATGTCATGGAACTGTCAGAAATAGACTATTAATGACAGTTCTGGGACTGTCCTTCCATGCAGCGGTTGAAACATTGTATGTATTTGTTTCCATAAATGGATCCATTTATGGAAACAAATAGATACAATGTTTCAACCGCTGTATGGAAGGACAGTCCCAGAACTGTCATTAATAGTCTATTTCTGACAGTTCTATGACATTCCCTCCATACAGCGGTTGAAACAGCTGTATGGAGTGAATGTCCCAGAACTGTCAGAAATAGACTATTTCTGACAGTTCTGGGACTGTCCTTCCATACAGCGGTACAGCGGTTGAAACATTATGTATTTGTTTCCATAATGGATCCATTTATGGAAACAAATACATACAATGTTTCAACCGCTGTATGGAAGGACAGTCCCAGAACTGTCATTAATAGTCTATTTCTGACAGTTCTATGACATTCCCTCCATACAGCGGTTGAAACAGCTGTATGGAGTGAATGTCCCAGAACTGTCAGAAATAGACTATTTATGACAGTTCTGGGACTGTCCTTCCATACAGCGGTTGAAACATTGTATCTATTTTTTTTTTTTCCATAAATGACATTCTGCAAATACACTTAGAGGAGCGCTGCAGATACACTTTTTGCCGGCTTGGAATTAATCTTATTTTCATCCTACTTCTTCTTCTTCATCCTCATCCTCATAAAGAAGAAAAGAAGAAGTAGGATGAAAATAAGAAGAATTCCAAGCCGGCAAAAAGTGTATCTGCAGCGCTCCTCTAAGTGTATCTGCAGAATGTCATTTATGGAAAAAAATAGATACAATGTTTCAACCGCTGTATGGAAGTGAATGTCCCAGAACTGTCATAAATAGTCTATTTCTGACAGTTCTGGGACATTCACTCCATACAGCTGTTTCAACCGCTGTATGGAGGGAATGTCATAGAACTGTCAGAAATAGACTATTAATGACAGTTCTGGGACTGTCCTTCCATACAGCGGTTGAAACATTGTATGTATTTGTTTCCATAAATGGATCCATTTATGGAAACAAATACATACAATGTTTCAACCGCTGTATGGAAGGACAGTCCCAGAACTGTCATTAATAGTCTATTTCTGACAGTTCCATGACATTCCCTCCATACAGCGGTTGAAACAGCTGTATGGAGTGATTGTCCCAGAACTGTCAGAAATAGTCTATTTCTGACAGTTCTGGGACATTCACTCCATACAGCTGTTTCAACCGCTGTATGGAGGGAATGTCATGGAACTGTCAGAAATAGACTATTAATGACAGTTCTGGGACTGTCCTTCCATACGCGGTTGAAACATTGTATGTATTTGTTTCCATAAATGGATCCATTTATGGAAACAAATACATACAATGTTTCAACCGCTGTATGGAAGGACAGTCCCAGAACTGTCATTAATAGTCTATTTCTGACAGTTCTATGACATTCCCTCCATACAGCGGTTGAAACAGCTGTATGGAGTGAATGTCCCAGAACTGTCAGAAATAGACTATTTATGACAGTTCTGGGACTGTCCTTCCATACAGCGGTTGAAACATTGTATCTATTTTTTTCCATAAATGACATTCTGCAAATACACTTAGAGGAGCGCTGCAGATACACTTTTTGCCGGCTTGGAATTAATCTTATTTTCATCCTACTTCTTCTTCTTCTCCTCATCCTCATAAGAAGAAAAGAAGAAGAAGTAGGATGAAAATAAGAATAATTCCAAGCCGGCAAAAAGTGTATCTGCAGCGCTCCTCTAAGTGTATCTGCAGAATGTCATTTATGGAAAAAAATAGATACAATGTTTCAACCGCTGTATGGAGTGAATGTCCCAGAACTGTCATAAATAGTCTATTTCTGACAGTTCTGGGACATTCACTCCATACAGCTGTTTCAAAAACCGCTGTATGGAGGGAATGTCATAGAACTGTCAGAAATAGACTATTAATGACAGTTCTGGGACTGTCCTTCCATACAGCGGTTGAAACATTGTATGGTCCTTCCATACAGCGGTTGAAACATTGTATGTATTTGTTTCCATAAATGGATCCATTTATGGAAACAAATACATACAATGTTTCAACCGCTGTATGGAAGGACAGTCCCAGAACTGTCATTAATAGTCTATTTCTGACAGTTCTATGACATTCCCTCCATACAGCGGTTGAAACAGCTGTATGGAGTGAATGTCCCAGAACTGTCAGAAATAGACTATTTCTGACAGTTCTGGGACATTCCCTCCATACAGCGGTTTCCGGCAAAAAGTGTATGTGCAGAGTTCCTCTATTCTGCAGATACACTTAGAGGAGCTCTGCAGATACACTTAGAGGAGCTCTGCACATACACTTTTTGCCGGCTTGGAATTATTCTTATTTTCATCCTACTTCTTCTTCTTCTTCTTCTTCTTCATTCTCATCCTCATCCTCTTCTTCTTCTTCTGAGGATGAGGATGAGATGAAGAAGAAGAAGAAGAAGAAGAAAGTAGGATGAAAATAAGAATAATTCCAAGCCGGCAAAAAGTGTATGAGCAGAGTTCCTCTATTAATTCCGGTTCGCCTGGTTCGATTCGCTCATCTCTAATAATAACCAATCAGCTTCCAGGTTTTATTGTCTAACTGAAGAAGATTAAGATAAAAGTTGACTGGCTACCATGCACAGCTGCACCAGAATCCAAGTTCACCAGCTTTAGTAAAATTCCCCCACATGTGTCAAGGCTCAGTAAACTAGTGATGTCACTACATATGATTCTGAGTGGACCCGTTTTAGTAAATAACTCATCCGCCCTATGTTTTTATGGACCAGGCTTTGTGCACAGTAGTTAGTCTCCTGCCTCTGAAGAAGTGTGTGCGCACAAAACGCGTTAGAAGGAGCCAAGGACGTTGTGACGTCACGCCGCCGGTGCCACGTGGAGGCCTAGCGACCATCTTAGATCCTGGATGGTCAGTCATTCTGTGCATACCAGACGCTGTTGTTATTGCTTACTTGCTCTTAATGAATCATTCTATTGCTGAATAAATTTTGACAAGAATTACTACACTATGGGCACTCTCCTTGATCTCCCTTGAGGAGCTATATTGTTTATAGAGCCCTGCTGTGATCCAGTTACCAGTCCACCAGACCCAGAGAGGGAAGCACCTGTAAGCAGGCATCTGTACCCACCTATCCCTTAAAGGGACCTCTGGCCAGCTGGATCTACCTACATCCTCTGAGGGCTCATATTCTTATCAGCTTGAGAGAGAACCTATCCCAAGTTCCAGCTTGGACCTATACCTGTGAAGGGGATCCTTGCTGATTTACATACTGCGTAATTTAATTAGGCTTCTGGTGAGTGCGTAATTCTTACCTTACCACTGGGAGCACCACCACTAGATTGAAGCTGTATATCACCCTATGTTTATTATAAAGACTGTCACTGATTTTTGTTCTTATAATTGGGGACAATTTTCACATATACCTCATTTGTTGATTAGCACTGCACATATATATTTTATATGTTTAGGATAAAAGTTGATTGGCTACCATGCACAGCTGCACCAGAATCCATGTTCACCAGCTTCAGTAAATCTCCCCATATGTGTCAAGGCTCAGTAAACTAGTGGTGTCATTACATATGATTCTGAGTGGATCCGTTTTAGTAAATCACTCACCCGCCCTATGTTTTTATGGACCTGGCTTTGTGCACAGTAATGGTGAAACAGAAAATGGCCTTCCTCAAACCTTTGTTACCTGGTTGGAAATGCACATTACCTAAAATGCCGATGTGTGCTATAGAATTACCAGTATCTCTCATTGTATGCGCCTGAACTCAATTATTTGGAGTGGTGATCCCATATTTAGCCATATAGTGTACATAAAAAAGATATATCGAACACTTTCCTGCCATAGACCTCAGAAACACACTGCACAAGACAGAAACCCTATTATGATTTTACACTATGTGGCGCTTTCCCACCTTCTTGAGCTAGGGTGCAATTGTAAGCTCGAAAGAGCAGGGCCCTTGATCCCCTCATGTTTTGCATTGTATTGGTATTGTTCTGTCACATGTTCTGTCTCCCTTTGTAATGTACAGCGCTGAGCGAACTATTGGCGCTTTATAAATACTGTATAATAATAATAATAATAATAATAATGTGTCCTGGAGGGTGTAAGGTGGTAAAGACCTAGCAATGGTTTAGCCTGGATAGGTGCAGACATGTTCACCTAGCTAATATGTTAGTTTAGATCACATACAGAAGGTGAGCCCTGTGCAGTGGGGTGACGCAAGTAGATTGTACACCCCCTTGAGGGTTAGGGACTGATGTGAAAGTACAATATATATGTAAAGTGCTGCGTAAATTGACGGCGCTATATAAGTACCTTAAATAAATAAATAAATAAAATAGGTATGTGTGCAGGAGCTTGCATATAGACCAGTGGTGGGCAACCTTTTTTTTCAACTGAGCCAAATCTCGCCAAAACCACGATTGAAATTTATTTTGAGAGCCACATTTTTAAAACTGAAAATACATAGGATGGTACACTGTTTTTAGTTTCAATAAGTTTTTATAGTAATTCATCCCCCATAGTAATTCATCCCCCATATAGTAATTCATCCCCCATATAGTAATTCATCCCCCATATAGTAATTCATCCCCCATATAGTAATTCATCCCCCATATAGTAATTCATCCCCCCTAGTAATTCATCCCCCATATAGTAATTCATCCCCCATATAGTAATTCATCCCCCATATAGTAATTCATCCTCCCCCATAGTAAATCATCCCCCATATAGTAAATCATCCCCATAGTAATTCATCCCCCATATAGTAAATCCCCCCATAGTAATTCATCCCCCCATTATAGTAATTCATCCCTCATATAGTAGTAGTAAGTAAGTAGCAAGTAGTAAGCCAAGTCCCCCCGTGTCAATTCACTTACCTTTGCTCCGCGTGTTCCTCTCGCCGTGTTCCCGCGCCGTTCCGGTCTTCAGGGCGGACTGTGAGAGGAGCCTAGCTCCTCTCACGTTCGTCACGCTGCCCCGCCTACACACATCCTGACAGCCAATCACTGGCTATCAGGATGTGAGTGGCAGCGAGACTGGCCAATCATTGCATTTTGAGCGCGCTGCCCTGGCTGTTTTTTTTTTTGGATCACACTGCAGAGTCCCTGCCGCCCGAGAGGAGGGAGGGGAGCGGGCGCCTGGCACACAAGAGCCGCATTAAAGCGTGTAAAGAGCCGCATGTGGCTCGCGAGCCGCGGCTTGCCGACCACTGATATAGACAATAGTGACTATGATATCCTTCAAGAAGGATTTTCACCAGTGGTTCACTGTACACTTTTGTGAAAGTTGGCCACCTTGTTTGTACACACTTTCACCGATTTGGATGAATTCTGAGACTTACTGAAATCCAGTGGACTGTAGCTTTTTGCTTATTTTAGTGCACTATATCAGTACTGCTGTATTTAGTGGCATTTTGCACATTATATTATATTCATAGTTTTTTTTTGTTTAGCACTGCATGTTAAAAATGTCACAAGTGGTATTTTCTATTTCAGGTTTAGTAAAAAAAAAAAAAAAGTAAGGAGCACAATAGCTTGTGCTGACATCTACACACAAGTAAATGATCAGAGGAGAGGGTGGCCTCCAGTGGGCACTCATAAAACTCTGCCCACTCCGATTCCAGGTTTTTAATCAAGTAGTAAGGAGTAATCAAAAGATGAAGAGGGGAGGGGCCTGTGTCATATACTATACTCCAAGATAAGGAAATTACAAGTGAGTAAAGATTCCCATTGTCTTATTCGTACAGTATAGAACAAAGGACTGATAGACCTTGGGATGTCACCAAGCAATATACTTAGGGGTGGACAACAGCAAAGCAAACAGGCCCACAGAAACCAAGGGTTAGGAGCCAAAAAAAAAAACGTTCAGATGACAGTGTGAAGCATATTGCTGCCGAAGTTTGCATCCATTGAAGCCCAAACATCCACCTAGCAAAACTTGAGACTGGGTGGTAGCCTTGCAAATCTGGGACAGATACTCAATGCTCCAAAGAGACACCAACACTAGTGCAATGAGCTCTGATGGGGAAAACCTCAACATTCACTATCCTATACCCACAGCTGATCCAAGGGAAAGCAAAAAACCCCAATAAAAGCATGATCCGATTTGTCAGGGAAGAAAATTCCTTTCTGATCCCTAAAGAGACAAATGGATATATCAACATGTGTGGTTAAGCTCCGCAGGTTGTCCTATTAATAGCCAGAAACTTGATCCACCATACAAGGAAACCCTGTCTTATATTAGCAACAACACTGGGCCTGCTAAAGGTCCAGGCTTCATCTGTCATGGTGGGCATGCCCTTTAAGGGGTCTCCAGGGTCTGGGAACCATAGAAATGGACCATGGGCCTGGACTTGTACAGCACCGTGGGGTTTATTTACTAAAGCTGGTTCACTCAGAATCTCGTGCACCTGTGCATTATAGCCAATCAGCTTCTAATCTTAGCTTGTTTAATTAAGCTTTAGCAATAAAAAATGGAAGCTGATTGGTTTCCAAGAAGTGCGTGAGATTCTGAGTGAACCAGCTTTAGCAAATAAACCCCCCTGTAGCCAATTACACATATTGCACTTCAGACACTAGAACCTGCATTAGATACTCACCTTGAAAGGGTAGGGTGTGGTCCCCAAGGTAACACTGAAAGCTACCCATCCGGAAAACTGCCCAGAAGGCAGTAAGCAGTCAAATTTTGATAGAAGTGTCAAAAGAAAAAAAAACTGAACGGTCAAAACCCCCCCCAAAAAAAACAGAAGTTTTACAGAATGGGTAGAGTTATACGAATGTGCATTAGGGCAGCCCTGCCAAGTTTTTTGCCGGTATCCATTCACCAGAAGGTAATCTGCATATTACTCAATCATCTATGTATAGTTAGTATACAGGATATAAAGTCCTATGTTCTGTACTGTGCGATTAAGATATATGTTCTGTACTTTAAAAGGGAAACCTGGCTTTCTTTGACTTGATAATTAGTGGCTCCACCTACAGACCACTTAGAATCATGGCCATGCAAGTAACCTTTTTAGGTAGAAACCATCAATGGCAGCTTTCATACTTCCTTCATATATGCCATATACTTCCTTCATATAAAATTAAGTTGTAAATAACAAAAGCAGGTTTCAGGAATACAATTCTAAAACATTCACAAACAAAAACAGTCACCAACAGAGAGCAGTTTTCCTATATAAGAGAGATCTACAGAGAAAGTTGATTGTTAAAGATCACCTGACATAGAATCCATGGTTCGGATCTGGTGGGTACTCTGTCCACTTCAGCAAAGCTCTCTCAAACTGAATACTAATCTTTGTGATGGAGTTAGGTGGCAGCTGAATTAACATCTCAAGGAGATGGGGGGCGCTGGCGATCCTTTGCAGGCACATAGTGAATATAACCTAGGCATACAATAATGTGATTAGAAGAGATGGCAAAACATTGATTTTAAGAAGACGACAAAATCTGCAGTTACATAAGATTTCTATATACAAGTCCAGCAAAGTTAAATAAAAAGCACCCACAAACGTAAAAGGAAATTTCTGCAATCTAACATCTACTGACCAACCATTTTCTGATAGAGTTGTTCCTTACGTACATATTGCGTGTTGATTTAAAGTGACGGCACATTGGTAACAAGGCGCTATTGATTACTATGTATGGACAAGCTGACAGTGTTTCTAAATAAGTCATTAAAATGGCACAAACTGAAGCTGATTTTAAAGGATTGTACTCCCCCAGAGACAACAGTTTCCATACCCTAGGCCTCAGTTGACTGCATAACAGGAAAATTCGCTTTCATGTTACCGAAAAGAAAAAAAAAAAAAAAAAAAGGGGGAGTACCATGTATGGTGCTTCGGGTCAAAAGGATTACTTTTTCTATGCAGTGAACAAACGCAATAACTTCTAGGCCATAATTACATTGTACACATCTGATTATTGCTTTTGCTGAACTTCCTTGAACACTCACTTGGCTTGTTGTCCCTGCCTTTGGTGAGGATGGTCAGTGTGTGGACATACAGTCGGAGGTACCAGGGAACAGTCTCTAGTATCATAACAGGGAAGGCTCTGTATTGGTGGTTGTTGTAAATCATGGTATTAATCACGCCAGTTTGAAGACCATAACCACTCACATAGCGTTCAGCATGAAAGACAGGGGGCCGTGGCTGGCCTGTGAAGAAAAAATAAATAAAAAAATAAAAACAATTTTTACAAAAGGCACTCCATTTAGGAGTATATTTAAATAAAATGACAGCATTTCATGAGTAAAAAAAATTTAAATTTACATATACATTTTATAATATAAAATGCATATATAATATATATATACATTTTAGAATATAAAATGCACTCCAGAGGAGCTGTATTCTCTGGAGTGACCAATCACGCTTCTCTGTCTGACAATCCGTTGGACGCGTCTGGGTTTGACGGTTGCCAGGAGAATGATACTTGTCTGACTGCATTGTGCCAAGTGTAAAGTTTGGTGGAGGGGGGATTATGGTGTGGGATTGTTTTTCAGGGGTTGGGCTTGGCCCCCTAGTTTCAATGAAGGGAACTCTTAAGGCGTCAGCATATCAAGACATTTTGGACAATTTCATAATCCCAACTTTGTGGGAACAGTTTGGAGATGACCCTTTCGTGTACCAACATGACTGGGCACCAGTGCACAAAGCAAGATCCATAAAAGTCTAGTTGAGCGAGTTTGGGGTGGAGGAACTTGACTGGCCTGCACAGAGTCCTGACCTCAACCCGATAGAACACCTTTGGGATGAATTTGAGTGGAGACTGCGAGCCAGGCCATCTCGGCTGACCATCAGTGTCTAACCTCAGAAATGCTCCTCTGGAAGAATGGTCAAACATTCCCATAGACACACTCCTAAACCTTGTGGACAGCCTTCCCAGCAGAGTTGAAGCTGTTATAGCTGCAAAAGGTGGGCCAACTCAATATTGAACCCTACGGACTAAGACTGGGATGCTATCACACACGCACACAAAATTATCCAGCATGTTTCTTGGGGTTCCACAAGCCCCTGTCCGTCAAGGTTTGATGATGCTGATCAGGAAAAGAAGGTCTGGGCAAAAACCTTTGAGTTATTTTGAAAACATAATTGCTTCAGTTACTGGTTTAGCTAAAGGGCCTTTTGGAACCCCTGAAACATGATGTTTTTGTGTTTCACGGAGTCTGTGCAGACTGATGGGCATGCACTGCGAGAAAACCAGCAAAGTACTTTACCTGTGCAACACTTTAATACAGGATGCACAGGCTGCATATGGAAGCATGGATTCTCTCATGTCACTATATATTTAAAAAGCTATGTGAACCACCATTATATGCGATTCCAGGCTCAGAAACCCCCTTTGTAATGGTACACAATGAAAACCTGTGGCTTTGTGTAACTAAAAGGCAGGCTTGTTCCACCCGCTGGCTTGTATACAAGTTTAGGCTAATTTTTAGACATTTTGCCAAGACAGCCCTGAAGAAACCTAAAGGTAACCTGGTTGAGAAAGGCTGCTTTAGGAACTCAAGCCTGTGCTTCCCATATCAGCTTATCTTCAGTACGCTCATAAACACTGTACTTAATAACCAAAAAAGGGCTGATATTGCATATTTATCCCACCCTGATGTCTAAATTCATTGTGTCCACACTGTTGCCATGTAGATCTGGCAGGGGGGTGGACTTAGGTACTATTTTGGATTAACACTGCATCACCGCTTTCTCAGGTATTGCTCTCCCCATCCAAAAACAGCAACAAGCTATATCCACCAGAGATCATAAAACTGAACCATTAGGCTACTTTTTATTGCTAGAAAACAGATTGTGAGACATTGGCTATTGCCACATCCTCCCATATATACAACCTGGAAGAAACAAAATAATGTAGCCCTAGTCAGGAAGAAGTTAATACACCAACAAAAAGAGTTGTCCCCAAATATCCTTTAAGCTTTTGTCTAACTGGTTGGCAAAGCTTGCCCTGGCCCCGCCTTCACTGTTGTTGCAAAATTTACTGCAATAATCTCACAATACTTATGTTCTAGCTTTCCTTCATATATCAGCTACGCACATCATTACTGACTCAAAAGCAAAGGCTATTAACACCAATTTATATTGTATATAGGGATGCATTTATAGCCTACTAGAATGTCATCGGTCTATTGTTGTTTTTACTGTTCCATGATTGGCTGATGGCGTCACAGCTAATATATACTGTGGAGACTTTTGCCCATTCGCTGATATTTCTGTATCTGATTTTTTTTGTCAGGACTCTAGTACACCACATATTATGAAGTGTTCCTGCATGGCAAGACCACTTACGGTTATCTCCCATATATATTCTTATTATTATAGCCAAATTTACCACCCTAACTCCTCCCACAGTTTGTACACTACATAGACAAGTAATATACCGAAACGTGCAGATTGTTCCCGATTGGTGTGCTATTACTTTGTGGAACGTTTCGCCGAATGGTTCACGAAATTTCGGCGTTTTTTGTGGTGAAATTGGTCCCATAGGAATGAATGGCGGAATGTTCAAAACTAGAGTGGGAGCTGACAAATCAGGACATGATTTCTAAACTGCCATCACTCCCTCATTTTCAAGCCCACCTACACAAATCTTATATCAAAACGTTCAGCTATCCCTGCTGCCACTAAAAATGTCCACGGCTAAGCCATAGACCTGATAGTTTTCACAATATGACCATCTGTTTGCAACTCACGCCGCCCATTGACCTTTTCACAGTTACTCCAGCCACTCCAACCACACAACAGTTACTCAAGCCACTGCACCCAGTTAGCCCGCCCACTCCAGTTGTAGAGTACTGGTGGAGGCAAGAACAATTCACACAATTTCCCCAGAAACTGTAGCTTTTCTAGTTTATTATTTCAGGTACTTATATAGCGCTGTCAATTTACATAGCGCTTTACATATATATTGTACATTCACATCAGTCCCTAACCCTCAAGGGGTGTACAATCTAAGGTCCCTAACTTACATCCATACATACACATACTAGGGCCAATTTAGACAGGAGCCAATTCACCTACCAGCATATCCTTGGATTGTGGGAGGAAACCAGAGTACTGTCATGGTTGGGATTTGAACCAACGACCCCTAGTACTGCCAGGCGGAAGTGCTAACCACTTAGCTACTGTGCTGCCCATAATATGTATGTCTTACCCATACCGTATTGCTCCTTCTCTTTTACTTATGGAATTGGAGGAATACACACAAAAAGGAAGAAGGATGAAATGCAAAAAGTTTTCAATAGTCACTACTTGATTCAAAATTTACATTCAGCATCTGTACATATTACTTGTTACTGTATATTCTGAAGTTCTGATAATTTCAGTTTTAAGATATAGTCCCAATTGAGAAAAAAATATTGATTTATAACCTATAAACGGATGTTTAAGTACAAAAAAAAAAAAAAGGTTGTAAACAGGTTGTAGGAATCTTGACCCTTTCTGCCACCAAAACTCACCCGAGTCAGCAGAGCCCCCCTTCCACTTCAATGCTACATTAAGATTTCTGGAAGTATTGAAGAAGCCGGGTTCTAGAAGATCATACACTGTGTACACTCGCTGATCCCCGTGGATCGAAACCTGTACATCCAAAGGTGATGGAGGGGTCACCTCAAACAGATCAAGCTCCTATTGTGTATAAAAAAATTATAGTATTAAAAAAAAGACCACAATCCTCATACAAGAAATAAATTCCAAAAAGTGATAAAGAGACAGTCAAGTTTGTCTGAATTTTTAAAATTAGTATACGTCTCACTATCTAACATCGCTGACCTCATACCAGAACAGCGGCAGACCTTCCTCTCATGCATTAAAGGAAACCTTCGGAACAGAATGGTTTTAGCCACTTTTACATACCTTTACACTTTGCAAAAATTATAATTTTTTTTCTTTGCTATTTATATCTAAGCTAAAAAGCTGCCAACACAAACTAGTCAGCAAAACATATTTCTTGCTTCTGGTCAGCCATCTGAATCCAGGGGCACACTGTACACAAGCTTCTACGCCTCAAGCATAATTTGTTCCTCTATGCTTTGAAATGCATACATCCATATAGATATCCCTCTACTGGCTACGGATATCTCTGCAATGGAATGAGGAGTGGACAAGGCCTAAGCTTTAACATGCAGCCAAGTCACTGATGGAAGAATTCTCTTATTAAAAAGGTGAGTTCCACCTGAAAAAAAAAATAAATAAATAAAAGTCAGCAGCTACAAAAAAACTGTAGCTGCTGATTTTTAGAATACAACCACTTACCTGTCTCTTGGTCCAGCGGTGTCCTCACCACCGCTTGTTTCACTGGCCGTCTTCTCTTCCTGGCACCGGCATCTTCAGTGTGGGCACCCGGCTGTGACAACTTGTGGCTTCACAGCCGGGTGCCCACTGCACTCTGTGAATAGCCCCGTAGTCTTCTGGAACCTGTCACATATCTCAGAAGACTACGGGGAGTGAGAGGGGAGGACAACTTCCGCCTCCGATCGCCTAGGCCAGGGGTCTGCAACCTTTAAGACATAAAGAGCCACTTGGACCCGTTTCCGAGAGGGAAAAAAAGACTGGGAGCCGCAAAACCATTGCAACATTTAAAACAAATCCGACACTGCATATATTGCAAAAAGCGCTCTGGTCATGAAGGGGGTTTAAGGGCCCAGTAAGCAAAGGGTTAATCAGGGCCACAGTGTATCGTCATAATCACAATCATAGCCTTAGGTCAGTGGTGGGCAACCTTTTTTTTCGACTGAGCCAAATCTCGCCAAAACCACGATTGAAATTTATTTTGAGAGAAACATTTTTAAAACTGAAAATACATCCCCCATATAGTAATTCATCCCCCCTATAGTAATTCATCCCCCATATAGTAATTCATCCCCCATATAGTAATTCATCCCCCATATAGTAATTCATCCCCCCTATAGTAATTCATCCCCCATATAGTAATTCATCCCCCATAGTAAATTCATCCCCCATAGTAATTCATCCCCCCTATAGTAATTCATCCCCCATATAGTAATTCATCCCCCATATAGTAATTCATCCCCCCTATAGTAATTCATCCCCCCTATAGTAATTCATCCCCCATATAGTAATTCATCCCCCGTAGTAATTCATCCCCCCTATAGTAATTCATCCCCCTATAGTAATTCATCCCCCATATAGTAATTCATCCCCCATATAGTAATTCATCCCCCATAGTAATTCATCCCCCATAGTAATTCATCCCCCATAGTAATTCATCCCCCATAGTAATTCATCCCCCATATAGTAATTCATCCCCCGTAGTAATTCATCCCCCGTAGTAATTCATCCCCCATAGTAATTCATCCCCCCTATAGTAATTCATCCCCCCTATAGTAATTCATCCCCCATATAGTAATTCATCCCCCATATAGTAATTCATCCCCCATATAGTAATTCATCCCCCCTATAGTAATTCATCCCCCATAGTAATTCATTCCCCATATTGTGTGAATTCACTTACCTTTGCTCCGCGCGTTCCTCTCGCTGGGTTCCCGCGCCGTTCTGGTCTTCAGGGCGGACTGTGAGAGGAGAGGAGTTCGTCACGCTGCCCCGCCTACATCCGGGCTGCCCCGCCTACATCCTGTGTCAGGAATGGATTCAGCACTGGTGGTGGGACTCTCCTGCCGTGTGGGCTGCAGTACCAGAGCTGACCAGCGGGTGCTCTCAGCACTGGTGGTGGGACTCTCCTGCCGTGTGGGCTGCAGTACCAGAGCTGACCAGCGGGTGCTCTCAGCACTGGTGGTGGGACTCTCCTGCCGTGTGGGCTGCAGTACCAGAGCTGACCAGCGGGTGCTCTTAGCAGCCAGAAGCTCACAATCAGCCAAACCTGGGGCTGATTACAGAAAGGTGTATATAAGGCATGACCAGGCCTGTGCTCTGCGCCTTGGTGTATGTTTCCCCATGTGCCCCTGTATCCTGTTCCTAGTTCCTGTGAGAAGATACCTTGTTGCCGACCCTGCCTGATCCTGATTCCTGTTGACCGTCTCCTGTTCTGACTACTGGCTCATCCCTGACCATCCTTCTGCCTGATCCTCTGTACTGCGCTGTCCGTGAGTTACTGAACCCGGCTTGTGACCTTGACCATTCTCTGCCTGCTCCTTTGATACCTTGCTGCCCGCATGTTGCTGACTTGGCCCGTCTGACCACGCTAACTACTCTGCCATCCATCCATCCTGCACGGATCCAGCCGTACCTGCACATACCTCTGGCGGATCCCTCTATCACTAGCAGGTGTACTCGGGGGCCGCGACCTGGTTCCTGTCTGCTCCAAGTCCATCCCCACCATCAGGGGCCCTGGTGAATAGCAGACTGGGACTTAGACTCCGCGCCCTGGGGAATCCTGCCCTGAGGACCGCTAGAGGTACCACCAGGCAGTCGTTACAGAACCCTACGGCTGGCCTGACCATTCCACCTCTCCAGCCCTGACTACGCCTGTGTTCCTGCACCTCCTAAGATTAGTGGAAGGTTAGTTTGTTCACTGTGCGTTTATATATATATATATATTTCTGGGTGGCTAATAACCTGTATTATACTATACCTGAAACCTGCATTTCCCTGTGTCAGTCCGCACCTTTCTGGTCATTCCTTGATTCCTGACATCCTGACAGCCAATGTTTGCCAGCGGGCGCCCGGCACACAGAAGATCTGCATTAAAAGAGCCGCGGCTTGCCGACCCTATTGCCTGTCACCTGGTGGGCAGTGTGCTCCGGAGCCGCAGGAAAGGTGAAAAAGAGCCGCGGGTTGCCGACACCCCGGCCTAGGCGATCCAGAGGAAGTGGGTACCTGTCAAATTCGGGTACCCGCTCCCCAAAAGGTGCCAATCCTTAATGGGGAGCGGTGAACAAAGGCTTAAAGCGGAACTTCCCCTTTTGGGTGGAGCTCAGCTTTAAGAGAGTGAATAGTTAAAAAATATCAAAACTGCTATTTTTGCATCAATACAGTCTGTTTTACCTTATGAAATCCAGATGAATCCACATAGATCTTGCTTTGTGTTGCAAGGGGGCAAGGCTCTGTTACTGTTCGAGCAAACATCTTAAATATTGACCAATCTAAAAAAAAATAAAAAAAAAAAATAACTTGAACTTTTACTATAAAAGTAGGACAAGCACTGAAGTTGTGTGGAGGCGCCGTTGACATTCAGGCAATCATCTCCACAGATTAGATATGACATGGTTTAAAGGAGGAATCAACCTGGTTTTGTACTAATGCATTTAAAGTGAAACTACAATTTATTTCTACTGTCACATTTTTAAAATTCTTGCAGTTCTGTGTTGCCATAAATCGACAAATGTTAAACCTAATATCCGGAGTGCAGTAAGCATGCCCTGCAAACACACGTAAAGATTCTAGAATAACCCACACTGAAAAACACCTATTGACCCTCCCAGAAATACAGTATCCTTGTAACTTCCTGTGCACTGAACTGAAATCTCAAGTCCCATTCACACTTGAGTGTTTGCGATCTCGGGCAGAATCTGCGCGATTCTGCCCATGATCCCAAAACGCTCTACACAAATGACATACAGTCAGGTCCATAAATATTGGGACATTGACACAATTCTAACATTTTTGGCTCTATACACCACCACAATGGATTTGAAATGAAACGAACAAGATGTGCTTTAACTGCAGACTGTCAGCCTTAATTTGAGGGTATTTACGTCCAAATCAGGTGAATGGTGTAGGAATTACAACAGTTTGCATATGTGCCTCCCACTTGTTAAGGGACCAAAAGTAATGGGACAATTGGCTTCTCAGCTGTTCCATGGCCAGGTGTATGTTTTTCCCTCATTATCCCAATTACAATGAGCAGATAAAAGGTCCAGAATTCATTTCAAGTGTGCTATTTGCATTTGGAATCTATTGCTGTCAACTCTCAAGATGAGATCCAAAGAGCTGTCACGATCAGTGAAGCAAGCCATCATTAGGCTGAAAAAACAAAACAAACCCATCAGAGAGATAGCAAAAACATTAGGCGTGGCCAAAACAACTGTTTGGAACATTCTTAAAAAGAAGGAACGCACCGGTGAGCTCAGCAACACCAAAAGACCCGGAAGACCACGGAAAACAACTGTGGTGGATGACCGAAGAATTCTTTCCCTGGTGAAGAAAACACCCTTCACAACATTTGGCCAGATCAAGAACACTCTCCAGGAGGTAGGTGTATGTGTGCCAAAGTCAACAATCAAGAGAAGACTTCACCAGAGTGAATACAGAGGGTTCACCACAAGATGTAAACCATTGGTGAGCCTCAAAAACAGGAAGGCCAGATTAGAGTTTGCCAAACGACATCTAAAAAAGCCTTCACAGTTCTGGAACAACATCCTATGGACAGATGAGACCAAGATCAACTTGTACCAGAGTGATGGGAAGAGAAGAGTATGGAGAAGGAAAGGAACTGCTCATGATCCTAAGCATACCACCTCATCAGTGAAGCATGGTGGTGGTAGTGTCATGGCGTGGGCATGTATGGCTGCCAATGGAACTGGTTCTCTTGTATTTATTGATGATGTGACTGCTGACAAAAGCAGCCGGATGAATTCTGAAGTGTTTTCGGGCAATATTATCTGCTCATATTCAGCCAAATGCTTCAGAACTCATTGGACGCCGCTTCACAGTGCAGATGGACAATGACCCAAAGCATACTGCAAAAGCAACCAAAGAGTTTTCTAAGGGAAAGAAGTGGAATGTTATGCAAAGGCCAAGTCAATCACCTGACCTGAATCCAATTGAGCATGCATTTCACTTGCTGAAGACAAAACTGAAGGGAAAATGCCCCAAGAACAAGCAGGAACTGAAGACAGTTGCAGTAGAGGCCTGGCAGAGCATCACCAGGGATGAAACCCAGCATCTGGTGATGTCTATGCCTTCCAGACTTCAGGCTGTAATTGACTGCAAAGGATTTACAACCAAGTATTAAAAAGTGAAAGTTTGATTTATGATCATTGTTCTGTCCCATTACTTTTGGTCCCTTAATAAGTGGGAGGCACATATGCAAACTGTTGTAATTCCTACACCGTTCACCTGATTTGGATGTAAATACCCTCAAATTAAAGCTGACAGTCTGCAGTTAAAGCACATCTTGTTCGTTTTATTTCAAATCCATTGTGGTGGTGTATAGAGCCAAAAATGTTAGAATTGTGTCGATGTCCCAATATTTATGGACCTGACTGTACTACACCATGCATGTTCAGGTACCATTCGTTTTCAATAGCACCAAAACACAATGCAGTTCTGCCGCGATAAATCACGCTGCAATCACGGCAAACTGCATTGCACAAAGTTTGACGCTTTGAGCAACAAGGTTCGAGCAATGCGGTTTGGCGTGCCTAAAATGGCAGAACCGCATTTTGATGCCCTTGAAAAGGATTGGCACCTGAACAGGTGTGGTGATATCTGTGCACAGTTGTTTGGGATCGTGGGCAGAATTGTGGCAACTCTGCCCAAGATCACAAACGCTCAAGTGTGAATAGGACCTTATAGGGGCGGACTAACCATTAGAGCACTCGGGCATTGCCCGAGTGCCCAGGGTCAGTAGGGGGCCCCATGAAATGCCCCTGGTACCTTTTATAGGCTTTTGTGGGTGTGCATTGAGTGTGGTCAAGGACACAGGGGCCCCATGAGTTGGGGTCAAGGACACAGGGGTACCTTTTCTAGGCTTTTTTGGGTGTGCATTGAGTGTGGTCAAGGACACAGGGGCCCCATCCTGTATTGCCCGGGGGGCCCCATGAGTTGTCAGTCCTCCCCTGGGACCTTAATTTTATCAGCTTTCCCAGATATCTTTTGTTATTTGTGGAACACCTCCCCCCGAGGGGGTTAAATCTGTAGCCCAAATCAGGAGAACAGCCTCGAGTGACAACTGAGCATTTGCCACCCTAGGAAAGCATGTGCATTACTGGCAGGATCAGTAGGGTCAAAATGCCCGAAAAAAGAAATGAATGCAGCCAGTGCATCTAAAGATTGGTAAGCTGCAATATAGCACTTTTTTTATTTTTGGGTTTGAATACACTTTAAAGCAGACCTTCACCCTAAAAGCCATGCTGTGCTGCTCTGCCTCTGCGTGAAACACGCACACACACACACCTTTAAGAAGAAAAAAAAAAAAAAAGTACATTTATTCATACCTAGCTTAAAATAACATTTGATTCTCCCTGCCCCCACAGCTGTGCTTCAAGGCTTCAGTTCCTGAGAGAGCCCTGCGGCACATGTACACATGTGCAGGTTTGCCCGGACAATTTGCACAGATTGCCAAGAGGGAAGACCTTTACCTTCCCAGACTTTGCACATGTGTGAAATGTCACCTGCGTGTGTCTAGATGTGCCAATGAGATGTTCCAAGACCCAAGGCTGGGTAGAGCCATTCAGTCAGTCAATCTCTTTTCGCATAAGTAACAAATGGACCAACCAATAATCAAAAACATACCTCTTTTCCCCTGTCCGTTGGTAAACATATCAAACACCAATGTTAAGGATTGGCGCAGCTCCCAGGAGACTTTTGAACAATCTGGTTCCTGAAATACCATGAGATCATATGGATTATATGATAATGAATAAAAGAATTAGCCCACCAAAAACAGATACAACTTTCATGGTAGATGGCACTCAGAATCCTCCCTACAGGTTTTACATCTTGTTTGACAATAAAAACACTTGTTGTCTTCTGAATTCCCAGGTCCATATATTTGGTCAGTACAAGACGTCTCAACATGCATATTGGGGTTTTTATTTAGGTTAAAGAAAATCTGCAGATTTTTATTATTAATAATTATGGTTAATAATTTTCTTTTTAAAAACACTAAAGTACAGAATAATACTTGTCGATCCTATCAGAAATCCAGTACATTCTTAACTTCCTGTAGTATGCTGATATTACTAAAAACAGAAATTCCAAGCAGCACTAACCAGTTTGCCCCTGCTGCACTATAGAACACCCCGCTTCTCAGCTCCATAACTAAAGGGGCAGGTGTTCTGTAGTCCAAAAGAAAAGAAATGGGCAGTGTTGACAACACTCCTTGGCATTTTAGTGCAAGCAGTGGTAGCAATGTCACTTCACTACAAGGAGTTGGAAGATTACTAGATTTCTGCCAGCTCAATGGGTATTTTACTATACAGCATTTATAAAGAGTCCTGTTATGGAGCTTTTTTTTCACCAGACACACTTTAAGATGAAACTTTTTTCCAAGAGAAATTATGGAGGCTTCCATTGTTATGCTTCTTTTGAAAATGCCAGTTGCCTAGCTATGTTGTTGACCCACTGACTTCAATACTTTTGAGTCACTGACCTGGAATAAGTAGGCAGACCAGGAAAGTCAGAGAAACACAAAAATCCACCATTATCTGTGTACTTATGGGGTATTCCAGAGGCCAGGCAGTAAATATTCACAGAAAGAGATCCACTTCCCTGCTCACATGACAGATACTAAAAGTATCTATTCTAAGTAACTGCTAAATCTTAAAATTAAAAAAAAAAAAAAAAAAAATAGAGACTGTTTTTAGCGTTTGTTAGTGTAAAAAAACACGACACTAAAAGCTCATTTCATGCTGTAAAAAATGATGAATCGGTTAAAGCCTAACTGAACCCACCAATTTTATAGGTTTCTAAAAACAGTTATATTGAGGGCACGTCTCTGGTGACAGCTGTCACAGTAGCTAGTGTGCTTATGTCAACTCTCAACTGAGCTTTCAAAACCTTAAAATTGCATGTGTCACAACTGATCGCATATGCAGCACCATGACAACTTTAGATCGACATAAAAGGCCAAATGGAGCAGTCTTTCGGGTGCAAAGGACAGAAGAGTTTAGTTCGCCTTTAGAGCATGGAGTATATAAACATCTCATTACCGACAAATTGGCCTGATATGTACAGACTGGGAGTGGTAGCTGCTGTAATACAGACGTTCTGCCTCTAATAGGGAGGCTAGGCCCACCTGTGTGGATAAAAGGAAGAAATGAAATGATGGTCCTAGATCAGACTACAAGTAATAGAAAGGCTGACACCGTACCTTTGAGCCACAAGGCAGCAGCTTCTTCATGGGGTAAGAACTCTGTGCATACAATTTCCCTAGTAGAGTGGCGTATCGCAACAGGTGGTGATCTGTCACTGCAGGGAATAACAAATTGTTTCTACAATAAAACGAAGTAGACATTTTTTTTCTCTTATGTTACAGTCATGGCCGAAATTGTTGGCACCCTTGATATTTTTTCCTGAAAATCAAGTATTTCACACAAAAAAGGTATTGCATTAACACATGTTTTGCTATACACTTGTTTATTCCCTTTGTATGTATTGGAACAAATATAAAACAGAGGCAGAAAAGCAAATATGACATAATGTCACACAAAACCCCAAAAATGGGCTGGACAAAAGTATTGGCACCCTTAACTTAATATTTGGTTGCACACCCTTTGGAAAACATAACTGAAATCAGTCGCTTCCTATAACCATCAATAAGCTTCTGACACCTCTCACCCGGAATTTTGGACCACTCTTCCTTTGCAAACAGCTCCAGGTCTTCTTATTGGAAGGACACCTTTTCCCAACAGCAATTTTAAGATCTCTCCACAGGTGTTCAATGGGATTTAGATCTGGGCTCATTGCTGGCCACTTCAGAACTCTCCAGCGCTTCTTTGCCATCCATTTCTGAGTGCTTTTTGACGTATGTTTGGGGTCATTGTCCTGCTGGAAGACCCAGGATCTTGGACGCAAACCCAGCTTTCTGACACTGGGCCCTACAGTGCGACCCAAAATCCTTTGGTAATCCTCAGATTTCATGATGCCTTGCACACAGTCAAGGCACCCAGTGCCAGAGGCAGCAAAACAACCCCAAAACATCATTGAACCTCCACCATATTTTACCGTAGGTACTGTGTTTTGTTCTTTGTAGGGCCTCATTCCGTTTTCGGTAAACAGTAATGATGTGCTTTACCGAAAAGCTCTATCTTGGTCTCATCTGTCCACAAGACGTTTTCCCAGAAGGCTTTTGGCTTACTCAAGTACATTTTGGCAAACTGTAGTCTTGCTTTTTTATGTCTCTGTGTCAGCAGTGGGGTCCTCCTCTGGTCTCCTGCCATAGCGTTTCATTTCATTTAAATGTCGACGGATAGTTCGCGCTGACACTGATGCTCCCTGAGCCTGCAGGACAGCTTGAATGTCTTTGGAACATGTTTGGGGCTGCTTATCCACCATCCGGACTATTCTGCGTTGCAATCTTTCATCAATTTTCCTCATCCGTCCACGACCAGGGAGATTAGCTACAGTGCCATGGGTTGCAAACTTCTTGATAATGTTGCGCACTGTGGACAAAGGCAAATCTAGTTCTCTGGAGATGGGACTTGTAACCTTGAGATTGTTGATATTTTGCCACAATTTTGGTTCTCAGGTCCTCAGACAGTTCTCTCGTCTCCTCTTTCTGTTGTCCATGCTTAGTGTGGCACAGACAGACACACACAATGCAAAGGTTAAGTGAACGTCTCTCCTTTTTATCTGCTTTCAGGTGTGATTTCTATATTGCCCACACCTGTTACTTGCCCCAGGTGAGTTTACAGGAGCATCACATGCTTGTAACATTCTTATTTATCCGCAGTTGTGAAAGGGTGCCAATACTTTTGTCCCAGCCCATTTTTGGAGGTTTGTGTGACATTATGTCGAATTTGCTTTCTTTCCTCCCTTTTTTTGTGTTTTGTCCCAATACACACAAAAGGAATAAACATGTGTATAGCAAAACATGTGTTAATGCAATACGTTTCGTGAGAAATACATGATTTTCCTGGAGAAATATCAAGGTGCCAACAATTTCGGCCATGACTGTACCTCAATTCAAGCTGTTTGCAAGTGGTCAAGGGCATAAGTGAGCCTAATCTGGCCTAAAACATGGCAATGTAGCCTACTTGAAGACATCTGGTTATGCCTGTATGTACCTGTGTTCGCCTTCAAATTGCTTCCTGTGTCTTTTATAGTGTAATCCCACCTGTTTTGGAAATAATGTATATTTTAAAGGAAAAGTTCACCTTCAGGGACATGTTACATGTTCCACCTTTTTTTTAGGGTGGAACATATAAAACATCCCCACTCCTGTTTGATACCGTAACACACATACTGCGGTACATTTATGGTGCTAATAATTTTCAATGCCACCTCAGGGTTCACTTCAAGCACCTGCATTGCAGTGCACCATATTCAGTGTGTAACATTTTACTAAATCAGCAGCCCCCCGCACCCCCATGGTGACAGAAGGGGGGGGGAGGAGGAGGAGGGCATCCCCTCCAAGGGTCGCTGAGCAGCTGCGTCCAGGGAGATTGTCCTGGGAGAGGAGAGGCGCCTGCTCAAAGGGTCACTGGCCAACTCAGCCCGGGGAGGAGGAGGAGGGAGAGGGCAGCGGAGGAGACATTCCCTGCAAGGGTCGCTGAGCAGCTGATGCAGGAGGGTGTCCTGGGGAGGAGTCTGCTCAATGGTCTCTGGCGCGGGTGGAGGTCAGAAGGTTTCAGTAGGCCACGGGTGGGAGTAAGCCACATCTGGAGAAACGACGGCGACCTTCTGGACAGCGTACTCGTCACGGGGGGTGAGTGAGGCGTGCCAGTGTGCGCGTACTGACTGGGAAGACATGGGAGCCGGCGAAGCTACCCCGGGCCAGCGGGGATCCTCTCCCTGGACCCGCTGTAACAGTTTTACAACAGTGCAGTTGTGCAGGGAGTTCTGTAAATCAATGAACTAAAACTACCACCTGCTACTGTGGCAGATGGCTTGCAGTTCTCAATGAACTACAAACGTACTGATGAGCACTCTTGCAGCTAACTGATTTTTCCTGCTCTTCCAGTAACTGTCTGCCTGTACAGGAGGTACAGACAGAGAGCTGTACTCAGAGGCAGCAGGAGCCTGACATTGCACCTGCAATCTGTTGATAGTAGGTGCAATGCTCTGCAGGCTCTCAAGGAAAGAAAAAAAAAAGAAAAGAAAAAAAAAAAAGCCCTTTTTACCTGCAAAATCATGTGCATTTACTATTATTTTTACAAAAGTGAACTTAGTCTTTAATCCTACACCTTCATAATTTGGCCATGCACAGAGCATGTAACCAAAACTATTATGTCTGCACGACAGACAATTGCTGCCCCCATTACTTAGTCTCTGAAGAAAGTAAAAGTTCCTCTGTTGCTACAGAGGGAGTTCTGAAGCAAAGAGCAGAATCATATTTTCTTTGAATCACCTTTCTTTGCCCTTGTGCAGCAAAAACATTCTTCCACTAACAATTTGTAAAGCCTTTAAATAATTGATTTATATTGTGAAACATAAAAAAAAACGTTCAGCATGTTAAGAGTAAGAGATAATGGATAGTAAAGGGGAGGTGTAAATGGATAAAACCTGTACACTGACCGTTGGCTAATCCCAGGGGCTTGAAAGATGCAGTTGGAGTCACTGTGTTAGTGGAGTCAATGAAGTTTAGCGATGCACAGAAAATCCCTGACAAGATGTTAGTCAGCTCCTTCCAGTTTTTATCGACACTGCAAAAATTAAGAAGTGGCAAGCTTAAAAATGTATCAAAATCCAAGAACAAAAAATAAATCGTGAATACGAGTTCTTAGATGTGGTGGATGAAATTGGTTTTTCATCTCTTCTCCCCCCTTTATTTTCACCTGGTGCTCCTGCCAGTAACACAGCTCCTGTCCCAAGGTGACAATCATTCACTGATCTGAGTTATGAGCAGTGTTGTCACCCTAGGACAGGATAATGAAACCCTTCCCCCTCTCCGTGACTTAGGTGTTCTCTAGTCCACAGAGAGCCAAGAAAATGCTAGCTGATGAGAGCACGGCACAGGGAGAGACTGCAAGTTTTCAGCTCACAAGATTCCTGGCAATTTATTTGCACATACCGAATAAATAACAAAAACGTTTTTAAATTATATATTTACCAGACCAAATAGAAACAAAAAGCATAAAACAAAGTTCAATGTTACACACACATACACTCCAGCCCAAAATAAAATAACAATAATTGCCCATTAAAAGATAAAATTAACACCAGCTTTGCCCAATATTTGTCTTCAGTTCAGAGATTTCTCCTGCATCACTTTTCTTTATCTGCTAGATGTCCTCAGCCTGACGGCTAGCAACAATCATTCCATTTCCTTTGAGCCCAGGTCATCCTGGACTTAGCCCCAGCCTATGACTAGACAGTGAACATAGAAGCAGCACAGTGTTGAACACATCTTTATGCATCTGTTTCCTCCTCGCTCTATCAGCATACTTCTTGCCAACACATGAACTTATTGACTCTTGAGCAGATTCTTCCTTTCACACTCCATCCTTGCTGTACAAGGACTGCAAGATGTTGATACCAGGTCAAATTCAGGTACTTACACTGTATGAATTAATAACTGCAAGGCTGCATTACTATGTATGATTTTATATCTGCCTAGATTTCAGATGTTTCTATACCTTACAAAGAGCCTAGCCTGTTATTTGGCCTTGCTTACCTTATCTAAAGAGAATTCAGCAATTGGGAGCAGAGCTGAGAGCCCTCCAGCATCCAGCTCACAAGGCTGAGCTCAAAACGTTGCTGCCCTTGCCAACGCTTAACATGGCTGATAACACATGCGGTTTCCCAGCTTCCAAATGTGCATGAAAGCAATGCATAACCGAGTGCCACATTTAGGTCCTTCAACCTAATACTGCTATGAACACATAGAAGCTGGGAAACATCTTGGGTTGTAAGCACAAAGTCAGGAAATCGAGAGATAGTGACTGTCAAACCTCGGTCTCAAGGTGGAACTAAAGTTAACAGGCAGGCTATTAATTGCAGAAGAGATATGCAATATCTCTTCTGCAATAAAACACACTTACCTGCCGGTCTGCAATTCCCTATAGAACGTACACTGAGCTTTGCATATGCAACTCAGTTTACATTCTGGCACGCTGCCTGTGTGCCAGGAGGACTGCACTCCTGCGCATGGGAGTGAAAGGGTAACTCCACTTTTGTGGAAAAAAAAACAAACAACAAAATATAGCGTACACAATTGCAACTGAAGTCATATTGTAATTGAATGTTATTAAAAATTACTTTTCATTTTCAATCTGCAGGGCTGTAATTTTCTATATAATGCAATGCAATATGGCTACCTGGAGGCATTCTGTACACAGATGGTGTACAGAACGCCTCCCAGAAACATCATTTCCTGCTTATGTGATTGGATCACTGATTTTTCCAGACGTCTGCACTAAAATACAAGTCAGATTTTAGGTATACACTGCAACAAAAAAATCATTTTTTGTGAGATACTCCCAATAGGAAATCACATGTAAAAGGGATGCAGACCCTGCAGTTTTCCTCATCCGAGCCCTGCAAGTGCAGCAGCTGATTGAGAATTATAAAACCACTCCCATTAGCTTCACTTTCCACATGGACACAGACAAACAAACAGCTCTTTCTTCAAAATAACAAAAGGTAGGAATCTGCAACAAAGTCTGTTTAAATCCCTGCAATGTACACAGATCACCCAGAGGGGAATGTTTTTTTCCCTCAACAAAAAGTGGAGTTACTCTTGAAGTCATCCTGTGCAAACCATTCAAAGATAGACAACTGGAAGCTGGGAAGATGATGCTGGCGTGGGAGCATATTGACAGCGACTGTTAGAGTAAAGGTATTTTTTACTTTAGTTCCATTTTAGCCATCATCTCCAGAGTCACCCCTCAGTAAAAATAGGCAATGACAAATATGACGTTTCCCATCATGCCCGCATCTGAATCGCACAGGAATTCAATGTGTGTTTTTATGTGATTCACATGCGGTTCTGTATGGTGTGTTTTCAGCCCATTCATTTTGAAAGGGCTGAAATCGCACCGCACCAAAATTAGTGCATGCATTCGGATCATATGGTACAAAAGTAGCACGTGATCTGGTGCGGGCAAACGCACAGCGTTTCCAGGCTGTGTTTGGGGTGTCCTTAAAGTGGAGCTCCACCCAAAAGAGGAAGTTCCTCTTTAAGTCTTTGTCCCCCGCTCTCCATTAAGGATTGGTACCAATTTGACAGGTACCCACTCCCACTTTCGCAGCGATCTCCTAGGAGATCGGAAGCGGAAGTTGTCCTCCCCCTTCGTAGTCTTCTGGGACACATGACAGGTCCCAGAAGACTACAGGCCATTCACAAAGCGCAGTGCTTTTCACGCATGCGCAGTGGGCACCCAGCTGTGAATCCGCAAGCTGTCACAGCCAGGTACCCACACTGAAGATGCAGGCGCCAGGGACTTTTCAAACTTCTTCCCCTACTGCTGTCACACAGGTAATGGGAACATGTTACATGCTCCACCCTAAAAACATGTTCCCGTAGGTGAACTCCTTTAACCATTTCCACCAATGCCTACTTACCCTTTAAGACATTCTAAACACTGAGACACGGACTTTCTGTTCACTTAACCGCCATGATTGGCTGTCACAGCAGTCACATGATCAGACAACTTCTGATCGCAAGTATACATTGGGAAATTTCCAATACCCGCCGGCAACTGTTGAGAGCGCGCGCTCTCAGCCCACCATTGTTTACATTTAGTAAGTATATATGTGGCCTCTCAGCATTAAAGCCCTCCCGCAAAAAGGCTGCATATATGCGAACGGCCGGAGGGAAGAGGTTAATGCCCACACGCTACACATATGTGTTTCTGGGCAGCCAATGTTTCTGTGCTCACTGGATGATCCCAGCACAGGGGATGAGCTGTGAAACACAGCTGTTGGTCCCTGCTAATGATTGGTAGCTGGCGGGACCAAGTGTGAATACATGATAGGCTGATCTTTCCTCCCCCTGGTGTTCAGAACCTTATAAAGGGGCAACATGGCGGGCAGCAAAGGGTTTAAAAATGTAGCTATATGTGGGACCTTTCTCAGAATGGAATACTGGGAAATAAAGTGACACTGACCTTCAGCAGCAGATCCATGGCATAGCTGCTAAAATTCATGCGATAGATGGCCTGTCATAAAAGATCACTATGGAGCAGATACATTGGATTGATTAGACCAGCGGTCTCCAAACTGTGGCCCGGAAGTGGCCCTTTGCTTGCCTTTATGCGGCCCTTGGGGCACTACTCCTCTGACACCAATGATGGGACACCATTCCTCTTACTGACAGTATCAATGAGGCATTATTCCTCCCATGAAAGCAGCAAGGGACGCTATTGCCTCCAATAAAACCAATGATGGGGCATTTTTTTGCTCCCACTGACCACAGTCCGGCCATCCAAAGCCCGAAGGACAGTAAACTGGCCTTTGATTAAAAAGTTTGGAGACCCCTGGATTAGACTGTTCACACCAAGAAAATGTCTTACTCTGTGACAGTGTCCTGGAACCAAACCCAGAGCTCAGCCCCGGCGGGTGCCTGGAGAAGAGGCTGACCCCAAGATCTTGTGCGCCAGAAGCCCTGCGTGAAGGACAGGTGCAGCTCCTGGATGGAGTACTTGGAGATTACTTGACCCAGAACTTTGGGAAATAATCTGTAGTGAGAAACTGGGAGATATAAAGAGAGGTATATAATGGGTTAATAATACAATGCAGTACACCGAATACTAAAAAAGAAAACTATATTTAATTAACCACTTGTCTACTGGGGCATTTTATTTATTTTTATTAAAATCTGCATTTGTTGTAGTAATTGCTTTACCCCCTCCCCAAACAATTATATATTTTCTAGAAGCAGAGGCCCTGGAGAATAAAATGGTGGCAGCTGACACTGTTCATAAAGGCAGTAATGGACGGGCTATCAGTGGCCATATGGAGGAGATGGCAGAATGCTGATAATATATTTTCTGGGAAAAAACATCGCTCTGTCTTTCCTATCAATAACTTTAGTGACAAGTCCTACATTTACCAGCCAGGCAAAAATCCTACCTGTACAGTGACAAGGTCAGTATGATGTCAGGTGGTGGTGATGTCAGTGTACAGTACAGCAGGGAGGAAGATGTCAGTGCATAAAAATGGCAGTGAAAGTTTTGTGTATGGTATGACAATGAGGATGTCTGTATACAGTGAGGTGGTGATGATGGTGTCAGTGTACAGTATTGTGGTGATTTCAGTGTACAGTATGGTGATGATGGTGTCAGTGTAGGGTAGTGATTATGCCAGTGTACAGTATATCAGTGAACAGTACTGCAGTGATGAAGTCAGTGTAGAGCAGTGATATCAGTGTACATTATGGCAGTGGTGATGTCAGTGTAGGGAGATGTCAGTGTACAGTATAATATCAGTGTTTAGTACAGTATGTTGTCAGTGTGGGGCAGTGGTGATATCAGTTTATACAGTATGTCAGTGTATACAGTACAGTGATGTTAGTGTATACGATGTAAGTGTACAGTACAGTATGTCAGTGTATACAGTATATAAGTGTACAGTACAGTGTTGATTTAAGTGTACAGTATGTCGGTGTATAGAGTATAATATCAGTGTACAGAACAGTGATGTCAGCGTATACAGTATGTTAGTGATGATGTCAGTGTATACAGTATATCAGTGTACAGTACAGTGATGACGATGTCAGTGTATACAGTGATAGTCTATAGTACAGTGATGGCGATATCAGTGTATACAGGATATCAGAATACACATACAGTACAGTATGATGTCAGTGTATCCATCTCCAGGACTTTTCCAGAGCGTCCCCCATCCTCTGGAACTCTCTACCCCAATTTATCAGACTATCGCCTACTCTGCTCACTTTTAGGCGATCTCTGAAAACCTATCTCTTCAGGGAAGCCTATCCTGCCCTCAGCTAATAATGGAATCTTCTACTCTTCCAACCAGTCCATCCACCACAGTTACTACCTTTTGTACCACTAGCCCCTCCCTCCTAGATTGTAAGCTCCAAGGATCAGGCCATCCTAACCCTCTTGTATTGAACTGTATTGTTGCTGTATTGTCCCCCGTTATATTGTAAAGTGCTGAGCAAACTGTTGGCGCTATATAAATCCTGTATAATAATAATAATACAGTGATGATGTCAGTGTATACAGTATATCAGTGTACAGTACAGTCAGTGTATACAGTATCAGTGTACAGTACAGGATGTCAGTGTATACAGTATATTAGAATACAGTACAGTATGATGACAGTGTATACAGTATGTCAGTGTACAGTACGATGTCAGTGTATACAGTATATCAATGTACAGTGTCAGTATATCAGTGTACAGTACGATGTCAGTGTATACAGTATATCAATGTACAGTGTCAGTATATGTCAGTATATACAGTGTACAGTACATGTCAGTATAATACAGTATATCAGTATATCAGTGTACAGTACAATGCCAGTATATACAGTATATCAGTGTACAGTACGATGTCCAGTATATACAGTATATCAGTGTACAATACGATGTCAGTATATACAGTATATCAGTGTACAGTACAATGATGACAATGTCAGTATATACAGTATATATCAGTGTACAGTACATGTCAGTATATACACAGTATATCAGTGTACAGGAACAATGTCAGTATATACAGTATATCAGTGTACAGTACAGTGTATATACAGTATATCAGTGTACAGTACGATGTCAGTATATACAGTATATCGGTGTACAGTACAATGATGACATGTCAGTATATACAGTATATCGGTGTACAGTACAATGATGACAATGTCAGTATATACAGTATATCAGTGTACAGTACAGTGTACAGTGTATACAGTATCAGTGTACAGTACGATGTCAGTATATACAGTATATCAGTGTACAATACAATGCCAGTATATACAGTATATCAGTGTACAGTACAGTACAGTACAATGTACATGACAATGTCAGTATATACAGTATATCAGTGTACAGTACAATGCCAGTATATACAGTATATCAGTGTACAGTACATGTCATGTATATCAGTGTACAGTACGATGTCAGTGTATACAGTATATCAGTGTACAGTACATGTCAGTATATCAGTGTACAATACGATGTCAGTATATACAGTATATCAGTGTACAGTACAGATGTCAGTATATCAGTGTACAGTAGTGTCAGTATATCAGTGTACAGTACAATGTCAGTATATACAGTATATCAGTGTACAATACAGTGTCAGTAATCAGTATACAGTATATATATCAGTGTACAGTACAGTGTATATACAGTATATCAGTGTACAGTACGATGTCAGTATATACAGTATATCAGTGTACAGTACGATGTCAGTATATACAGTATATCAGTGTACAGTACAGTGTCAGTATATACAGTATATCAGTGTACAGTAGTGTCAGTATATCAGTGTACAGTACAGTGTCAGTGTATACAGTATATCAGTGTACAGTACGATGTCAGTGTATACAGTATATCAGTGTACAGTACAGTGTCAGTATATACAGTATATCAGTGTACAGTACGATGTCAGTGTATACAGTATATCAGTGTACAGTACAGTGATGACGATGTCAGTATATCAGTGTACAGTACAGCGATAATATCCGTGTATAAAGTATATGTTCTCGGGCCTCTCTCACCTTTCTCCCTCCTCAGGTCGGAGTCCAGTCGGGTTCTGAACTGGAAGGTGGCGGCGATGTCCCCAGAGCGGAGCGGGGTGAGGAGCAGCTCCTCCTGGAAGGAATCTCCGGCCCTCAGACTCTCCACCGCCCCGGCCCCGGACACCAGCGCCGCACACACCACCACAAACCCCACACACCGGCCATCATTCACCCGACCGGCTCTTCCGGTTTTCCCTACCTAGTTCTTTCACCCAACCAATCACTTTTCGTTTTCCATCATACAGCCAATGACCGAAAAGGAAGGGCAGAGAATATGGACTTCTCTTTTCCAATCAAAGCATAATAAAGCCAACCAATCAAAACCAGGGTAAGGGAGCTTACAGCAAAATCTACGCAGGCGCAGAACGAAACCATGAGTTGTCAGGGTTGTCATGTCATTGACAGTTCCACACACCAGCGAGCCTGACATTAGAAATGTACAATAGACTACAAGGCTTAGTATGGGGTCATCATTTCTTCTATCAGGGCTGTGTGCTGAGACCACAGATAGCCCAAATCCCTCCAGTGTTCTTGCCTCTTAAAGTGACCCTGTCATTAAGGGCTCATGTACACTTGCAGCTGATAAACTCACATTTAGGAGGTGTTCAGCGTTTTTTTTTCAGCAGCCCCTGAACTCACCCTAATGTTTTCCTATGTGTCCATGTACACATCTTCGTTTACAGGCAGTTGAGTTTACAGTCGTTTTCTTGAATGCAACAAATTTGCGTTCAGACGTCGATTTTATCAGCGTTTCAAACGCAAACGCTTGTTAATGCAGCAAAACGCATCTAAACGCAGCAAATTGCATTTATAAGCGTTTATGTTTGAAATTTTTTTTACCTCTTCCAGTTCCCAATGCTGTCCAGAGCCTTTTTTCATCATGAAAAAATGCATGCAATTCAAGGTACTGAGATGGGCAAAACACTGAACACAGGATGTTCCTACCAAGCTTGTCACACATTGTAATGACCAATTCACATCATAGGTGACATACTAATTACAAACTGCCAAACAAAAAAAAGGTAAATTTAAACTTTTTGTACCAGTAGAGGGACCTTTTGTTGCTAAATATAGTTGTAGTAATTGTTGAAATTCAACCTCCCTCCCGCCATGAACTGATTAAAATCATGGATGTACTCAGGCTTTTGGACTGGACTGTGTTGTCTGTGGTTTTCCACCGAGGTGTCATTGTGGATGGAAGACAGGACATTTATATCTCGCTAATCCCTCCACTTCACGTTCAACACTTCTTCGTTCCTCAAACTCGCTGATTGCCCCCTTTGTAGTCTAGTGGTCAGCAGCCTTTGTTGGAAGCCCTTCCTATCTGTGAATGTTGTAGCACAGGCCAAGGTTTTCTGGAGGTACAGGTAAATGGGCAGGCTTGTGTAGAAGTTATCCAGGTAGAGGTGGTACCCCTTTTTGAATAGTGGAAATGCAAGGTCCCAGATAAATGTTCCACTTGTCCCGATGTAGGTTGGGCAGTCAAAGGGCTGGAGCTGACTATCTTTGCCTTTGTACAAACAGAAAGCATACAAATATCCCATGGCTCTTATACACAGCTTGTACAGCTTCACTCAATATCTATCCCTTTACTGGGAATGTACTGCTTGATTCCCAGCCTGACAGTGAAATGGATGAGGGACTTGTCAACACAGATGTGTTTGTCAGGGATATACAATTCAAATAGCAAATGCTCACTATTGATGGGTGTTAGCCCAAAGTTAAGGTACTTACATCCTAGTTATCTATTCAAAAGACCTTCATGTCGTTCTTGGTAGAGGTTTTTTGTACTGGTGTTTTTCAGATGTGGCTTAGGGACCATAGCATGGTCAATTCTGTCGATGCACTGTATGCCAGTTTGAATCACTGTATATGTATAAATCTGCATTGGTATTGGTATTGTTACTGTTTTTGCTTGATTTGGAGCGAACGTGTGATCTCTTGGATGGTGGGAGTGGTGGGGGGGTGTTTTCCTCCCCTTCCAAACTCCTTGCTTGCTGGGCCGCTGAGCAGTGGGTCTACCCAGCTCATTGCGGCTTTGTTATTGGCACTGCACATGTGCTGGTTTTGGCACATGTACAGTTAGGGACCAGGTCCTGTGATGTCATTGGGCGCCACCAGATTGAAGCAGTGTTTAAAAGGCCAATCTTCCATTTGAAGCCTTTAGTTGCAATGGGTGCTGATGTGCTGATATTCATTTCAGTTATATATTTGAACCATGCTGTCCATCTCTGTTATGTAGTGGTTGTTACTTAGGGGCTCACTATGTTTGGGTTGTCTTTTAAAGGTGGCCATATGGATGTTTTGTCTCCCATTTTTGTGGCTAGCGGGGCATAGGTTTGGTTGTTGTATCGTTTATTAAGCTGTCCTTGTTAATGAAGTGAGTTGCTTTGTTTTGGGATAAATTTTTAAGCATGAATTATGCAACATAGCCATGGATATACATTCATATATGGGTGTATTTGTTATCTTTTGCAGATGCAGCAATGTGTTTTCACCCTTTGAACTGCTTTAAGTAACAACTATACTGCTCAGATTGCATTATTATACATCTAGTGATTTGAGGGTGTGCACCACGTGCTGATCAGCAACAATTTGGAAGTTTGGTGTTGTTACATGCCTTTTATTTTTTTATACCCTTTCCTATTATTTCTAGTTGAAAATGAATATAGTCGTGATATGGGTGTATATATGTTAACTTTTGCAGATGCAGAAATGTCCTTTCATCCTTTGAACTTCTTGACTGACTTAACGACCACACTGCTTAATATCCAAACAACCTTATTGCACTATTTTACATCTTAGCACATGAGAGGTGTGCATCATGTGCTTTTCAGCCTAAGTCCCATCAACTCCATGTTGGAAGTGTGGTGTTTTTACGTGCCTGGTATGTTTTATACCTTCTCCTATTGTTCTCAGTTGAAAAATCCCTAAAACAATCCTCATTATTTGCATATAGATAGGTATGGCCTTTAGACTTGCTGCCACGTTCACCCCAGGAGATCTTTGTTTGGTCATTGTGGTCTGGCTCTACAGCTCCTCCTGGTGTCCTAGGGTAAGTGCCAAGATAGTCATTACTTACAATACACCTTATGTTATGATAAATTGTATCACAAATATATTCCCTCAATATACTCTTGTAGAAGCGGGAAGCATGTCGAGATTGGCAGACTACAGACTCACCTTTGTCTTGGAATAACAGCCTGTGGTGTGAGATAGCACCATTGTAGTACAGCCTATTCAGAGTGGTTTCTAAACAAGCAATGTTCTTTTAATGTTATATCTTTTTGTAATATAAATATGAGGTTTTTACCTTAAAATGTCTGTGTCTTTGATGATACCAAGAAAATCCTACTGCCCCTGTTGCTCTTTAGGTCTTTTGAAGGGATATACAATTGAATTAATGAAAACACAGTAAACTCTGTACTTCTGCGCTTGGGGATGGACTCAGCTAGGGCTATGGTAACAACTCAGATGTCCTGGAAAATGCACTCCTTGCTGCCGTCAACAGACCGGGGTAGTCCAATGTCACTGGATACAAAGAAAAACAAACAGAGGGTGCACCGGCCTAGTGCATTATCGTAAAACATATTTTTTGGAAAGATAAAAAGTAAGTATCATACTCACAATTGACATACAGATCAAAGGCACATCACACTAAACAGTGCTGTCCAATCCACACTGCATATAAGTCCATAAATGGAACCCTGGACTTCCAACAGGCTAACACGTTTCGAGGTCTCAACCTTTTCCTCAGAGCCAACAAACTGAGAGTCTGTACCTCTCTTATATATGCTGGCTAATGCAGATTTTTAAAACACATGTGGGCCAATTGGGACAATTAAAATAATCTCAGGGAAAACAATTGATCAGTGAACAAATAAAGTAAAGCATCATAGCCAGACTGATTTTGGGGAGGGCCCTGTGTATTATCGCTGAAATGGAATAATCACATGATGATGTCATAGCGTGACCTTGACATAACAGCTGAATAAATGGGCATGTAATGAATGGGGTTGTTGGACCAGTAACCATGTACTTAATTTTTTTTTGCACGTCCTATGTAAATTATGCGGCACAAATATAATTTTGAATTCCTCCACTGTGACAGGTCTCCATTCAAATGGATAGGCATTAGGAAGAATTAGGGTTATTTGCAATGCATTGCTGGGCTAAAAGATTGGTCTGGTTGACAATTGACTGAAATAAATTGTTATGAAAAATAACGAGGGGGATTCTAGGTGATTCTGAGCTGGAGGGAAGTCATGATGGGTTTGCAAATGCCTCCGGGAGACTTGTATGGGTCTTAATTCTTGGGGACGGGTGTGATACCGCAGTACTAGTACCGGACCTTTCATCCAGGGGTTTAGCGTTTTTGGTGCTTGTCAATTCACCAGTGGTGTGTATGGCACTGCTGTTTGCCTGGCCTTGAGAACAGCTCATCTTTTTTGGAGGGACCTTTAATTTACTGACCCACTACTTTCCACAGGTTCACACTCCTAATCTGAATCATAATGCAGGGTTAAATCGGTAACTCAAAGTTTCAGTCCCTCCTTCTCCTCACATGAGGTCTGTATGTGAAAAAGGAAAAGACAATAACAGCAAGTTATTGGTGCTTGTTTTGATTTTTATGATCGTCTGTGATTTGACACAGTGTTCACATGGTAAAGAGCTACTGTCATTGGCTCTTTACCGCAAATGGATATGATCTCTGTACAGGGGACACAGCTCACCAGAGATCGCTGCACTGCAAGCGGTTAAAATGGTTGTAAACCCATACATATACCCAGTGCAGTGACTAGCCTGAGTTGATACACAGAGAGGAAACAAATAATGCTTCATAAGTTCTACCTGTTTGCCTGCAGTCTTCTCTACAGTAATTCAAATCAAAAATGTATAAAGCTTGTCTGAGTTGTCAGAAAGCAGGAAGCTGAAGTTAACACTCTGCAGAGATTAGTGAAAGGAGTCCTGAGAGCTATATAGGGGAAAGGGACACTCCCCTTCCACACAGCTCACAGGAACTGTCAATCTGATGGAGATCCCTCCCCATCATAATTTTTTCTTGGTGTCAGGAAAACTTATCAGAAGTTATTAATGTTGATAGCAGGAGTAATGCAGCAGAAGGCAGAAATGAAAGTGCTCATAATTGAGAAAAGTAAACATAAG